TGCGAGATGCTCGCAGGTCCAGTGCCTGCTGTGTGTTTGCGGAGGAGACGTGTGTTGGTCTGGGCGGCTCTCAGACACGCACGGGTGTGGGGAAAGAAAGCGACGTGTTGGTCAGATGGTGTTTGGCTGCTGGGAACACATACTCAAGAGTTACTCTCCTGTGTAAATGAGGGTACAGATGTGGGTACGTTTTGGATTGTTTCCTGCCCCAGTGTGCAAACATGCCGGTCCACAGTGTGCGTGTTTGTATGTGGCGGCTGTCTGTCTCACGTTCCAGCCTTCCCCAAGCCACCTCCAGCCCCACTTAGGTCCCTCAGTCCCCACACCCCGGCCATCCTGGCTCTGGCTGTGGGGAAGGCGAAGATGCCGCTGTGCAGGCTGGGGGTGGTGGAGGGAGTCGTGAACACGGATGGGTACCCGGCGGCTCCTCCGGGGAACCTGCTGGGGCGGCAGGTGCTCAGCAGACTGCAGAGCTGCCTCCCAGTGGGGCAGGGCAGGGGACCCTAAGGTGGGGGTCTTCAGGAAGGCAGCCTGGCCCCTGTCTGTTGGGGGTAGGGGGTACGGCAGCCTGTTCTCTCTGGGCAGACCTGGAACTGGACAGTGAGGAGAACACGGGGCTGCCTTAATTGTCCTTGCGTGGCCACCTCTCAGGCATGGAGGTTTTTGGGAGGGTGTGTGTCAAGTGCCCGTGTGGCCGGGGATAGGCACCTGCTCCCTGGGAGCGCCTCCAGGAGCCAAGGGTAGGGTACGGTGGTCCACAGGCTGCGGGGGTCCACAGCTCCTCCTGGAGGTGTTGGCTGGGCCGGACACACCGCAAGCCCGAGCTCAGGGAACCCCCGGGGACACACAGCTGCTCCAGCTCCAGATCCTCCCCCAAGGCCGTGGCTTGGTCTCACCTCACTTCTCCATCTGTTCGTCATTCTTCCCTGTCCCCGTTGTACTCGGAGTCCCTCGCAGGCGGGACCCTGGTAGGGTTGCTCCCTTTGCTCCCCCCTGTATAGCGGGGGGCGCGTCCCAGGCCAACTGGGCTGGGGAAGCAGACCTGCCAGCACTTTTCCTCGTGTGTCCGTTAAGGTCCAGCTCCCCAGGAGGTCTGTCCAGAGAGGAATCTGCATGTACTCTGGGTGTCCCTTGGTGTTTGGAGATGGTGGGGATTTGGGGAGTGGGGTGTCTCTGCCTGCCTAGTCTAGGGGCTTCTTTACACCAGGGTGCAGGCCCCCTGGAACACAGGGATTGCCTGTTGGGGACACTGTCACTAGCATCCCAGGTTCCTCTGGAGGCCAGTGGTTGGGTGGGATGTAGCTCAGGAGCACAGTGAGCCCCTTGCCCAGGTGTCGGGGAGCACACTCCGGTCGGGGCTGGGAGGCAACAAGTGTGAGGGGGCACCGCAGGCCACCCAGCCTCATGGGAGCGCAGCTTCCTCTCCTGCAGGACGTGGGGGGGGTTGAGCTGGAGGTCAGAGGCAGCCTCCTGTGCATGGGTGCCCTGGCTCCGTGAGTGTGGGCAGGAGCCCTGTGTCTATTAAAAGGCAGAGGCGGCCTTGTGGTTGGAGTGCTGCCAGGGGCTATAAATAGCTGAGTGTGTGCAGAAGCAGAGCTTGCCAGGGAGGAGGGGGGAGGGGGGAGGCCCCTGGGTCTCCAGCTGGCAGCAGGGCCTGGGTGTGGTGTAGGAGGGGCCTGGAGCCTGCCATCTCCTCAGCACCCCCCCCCACCCCCTTAGGCTCTGAACGCCAAGCTCTAGCAGGTGTGGGTGTGTGTGGGTGTGTGCCCTGTGCACTCCATGAGCTGGGGGCTCCTTGTGGGGCTGTGCTGTGAAGGCTCGTCCTGGGCAGCAGGGGAGACGCACGACTCCAGTGTAACACTAACACGCCAGCCCCGGGCGTTGTTCCAACCACTCTTAAAGAGCTTTAACTCACCTCACACTTGGAACAGCCCTAGGAGTGTGCGCTGCTGTTACTATCCCCTTGCCACGAGTGCGGGGACAGGGTCAGGGGGTGGTGTGGTAACTTGCCCAGGGTCACACAGCTAGGAAGCGTCAGCGCCACGATTTGACCAAAGTCCATCAGCTCATGGCTGCGTTTCTTGGTCACCTGTGCCAGGTGGGGGTCTGGTGACATGCCAAACCCTTGGTCCTACACCTGGAGCCTTGTGATCTGGAGTGCTCAGCCCTGTGCACCTGGGTCCTGCCCACAGGAGTGGCCAGAGGGGCCCCTGCCTGGTCAGCGGCCCGGAGAAAGGAGGGGTCTGCTCCCCACCTCTACCGGCCTCTCTCGCTCTGACTCTTAGCCTTGAGCGGGGGCTTGTTGCTTGTTGTCTGAGCGGAGGTGGGAACTCCCCAGAGGACCCAGGAGCTTGGGCAGCAGGGTGAGGCCACCACTTCCGTTGTCCCCGCCCTTTGAAGTCCTGCCCTCGCCAGGAAATAACTATGTCCTTCTGTGCGTTCTTGGGTCCTTCTGTCTGTCTGTCCGTCATGTGTCCGAAATTGATCCTAGCGCTAAGTGGAGAGTCAAGGCTTCCGCCTTCACCAGTGTTGCAGTCCTGTGGGGGAGGCCTGGCACTTGAAAAGCAGTTGTTGAGCATGCTCCTGACACTTGTTTTTTATGCGGGCATTCATTATGGTGTTTGCGCTTGGGGATTATCTTCGGTCACATCATCTCCGCATTTTTCGAATGTCTGAAATACTCCTTTAAACAACCACCAGCAGTTTGTCGAGGGCGATAAGCTAGGTTTTGGAGGAAGCACAGGTAAGGCTTGTGGAAGTAGAGCTGCCCTGGCCTCCAGGGAGAGGATAGAGCTGAGATGGAAAGGAGGAGGCGGAAAACATCTTGTGGCCAGAGGCAGTCGCTTGTGCCAAGTAAGGCCCGGAGTCCAGCACATCCAAGGGCCAGGCAATGTGGTGTGACTGCGTTGAGGGAAGGCAGGTGGGCAGTGCGCAGCTCCCCCGGGCCTCATTCTCTGGGGACCCCTGTGGAATTGCTGCTGCGAAAGCAGTGGGACCCCCCAACCAGGAGAGGAGGCTCTGCACCCGTTGTACTGGGTGTGCTGCGTGGCTCAGCCCCCAGATGCTGCTGCAGGGGCTGCGGGGCCCGTGTGCATTGTGGGACCCAACGTGGGTCCTGGTCCTGGTGTGCTGGCTCAGCCTGTGGTCTCCGATGCCCACCCGCTCCCTCAGGTCTCCCCCAAACCTTCAGCCTTTAGCCGGATGCAGGGCCTGGTTGGGGGGGAGCCAGTGTGCACCCCTGCAGGAGCCCCTTTGTGGACTCTGAAGCCCGGCCTGCCGACCAGGCTGGGTCCCAGCTGCCTGGGTGGTCTGGCACCCACTTTTTTCCTCCTTACTGGTGTCTGAGTCTGCGCCTCATGGCACTGGATGGCTGGAGCCATAGCTGGACACTGGCCTTCTGGTTGGGTGACATTCTGAAACTTTGAAGTCCTACCTGGACCCTTGAGATGTGAGGCTGACCCCTGGCCAGGCCCTTCTGGAAGGAGCCTCCCATCACTGCGGAGATATGCAGAAGGGGAGGGTCTGACCGGAGAATGGCCACCCCTGCCACGGGCCCTCCCACCTGACCGCCTTGTCCTGCTCCCTGGGTGCAGTGGGGTGTCAGCCCTTTGTTCAGGAGAGCCTCTGAGGGGGGTGGAGCTTGGGGAGAGGGAAACCTTGGGCTCTTCGAGGATTCAGAGCATTTCCGGCACCGCCCCCCTCCCTGACTTGAAGCGGGGTCTTTTTGCTCTAGCCAGCCTTTCAGGCTGATGGCGAAGCAGCACTCGGGTGGGCTGGCTAGCTGTCATTCCATGAGGGGTGCCCCGACCCGTCCGTCCTCTTTCCTGAGGTGGGAATGGTTGTAGGGGAGTCCAGCCAGGGGCAGCGTTGGGTCACCAGCTCACAGTAACCCCAAGAAGTATGGAGAGGCTAGGAGTAGGCTTGGTACCGGTTTCCTCCTGGGTGTGTGTGTGTGGGGGGGTGGTTTCGGCATTGAGGCTGTAAATACAGCTGCCACCCCCGATGAGGGGCACCCCGTAAAGGGACGAGGACAGGGCACTCCCAAACGGAGGCCTGGGAACGTGTCTGCCTAGGCGGTGGGTCAGGAGTCAGAACCAGTTTTCCCAGAGCCTCCTTTGGCCTCTCCTCCTCCTCCTCCTCCTTCCTGTCGCAGGGCTGTGGGGTCTGAGGGCAAAGGGGCAGGTGTGGGGGCTGGCCTGGTGTTGCTTTGGAGGGCATGGGTGAGGAAGATGGATTTGGTGAACATTTGAAGCCACGTTTGAGGATCAGAGCTTTGGCCACCCGGTGGCACTGCTGCAGGGGGTGGAGGAGGGCACGGGAGAGGGTGGAGGGCGTCCACAGGGGGCTTCAGGGGCCAAGCCCCTCGGGGAGGATCATCTGTTTTCACGGGTCAGCTGCCAGCCGGCCCTCTGTCTGCTTGGGGCGTGTATTCCCTGTGGTCTCTGTGGAACCTTACCCAGAACACGAGGGCCTGGTGCTTGATGACCTTCTGCAGCCCTACTGAGCACTGCTAGTTGTTGCTGGGCGTTGTGGGGGGTACACCAGCAGTGTCTCCCTGGGGTGGGGGCTGTGCTGAGTGAGCACGGACAGCAGCATCTAGGCCCTGAGGTCTGTATCAGAATTACCTGAGGCAGACGGGGGTGATCAAAACTGTAGATTCTGCCCACATTCCAGTTGGATAGTTGGGGCTGGACACCCCGCCCCCACACGCAGGCATGCGGTGCTGCTGCCCCGCCCCCACCAGGCCAGGGGCCTGAGGTGTTGGTGGAGCCCCTTTTTTTTGCATCTGGCCGCCAGTCTGGCTGGCTGTCTCTATCCTGTGTTGTTAGATGTGTGGTCCCCTCCCTCCTGATTGGGCCTGAGGGCAGTTGCTGGGGGAATGAGATGGGGATGTGCTGGCCGGCCCACGGAGCTGCCCAATGGGTGGCGGCCTGGGTCCAGGGCAGGGAGCAGGGGTGGGTGGAGCGCTAAGCAGCCTCTGACCTCCGGCTGGGATGCAGGTTCCGGGCGCGGGGAGGCTGAGACGCGGGAGTGCATCTACTACAACGCCAACTGGGAGCTGGAGCGCACCAACCAGAGTGGCCTGGAGCGCTGTGAGGGTGAGCAGGACAAGCGGCTGCACTGCTACGCGTCCTGGCGCAACAGCTCCGGCACCATCGAGCTCGTCAAGAAGGGCTGCTGGCTGGATGACTTCAACTGCTACGACAGGTGCCACGCTCACCCTGCCCTCCGGGCCTCCCTGTCTCTCTGTTCCCCTGGCGCCCGCCTGCCGGCACACCACCCGCTGACCCTGCGGGCGTCAGGGTGTCTGTGAAACCCAGCCTGCGTTTAGGATGGGAGGGGAAAGACGGGCTCTCGTGAGAGCTTGGGCACAGAGGGCTTCTGCAGGGCCCCAGCCCGTCCAGCACTGTGTGTGCAGGGCCTCGTCCTGAGGAGGGCTCTCGGGGAGTGTCTGCCCTGGCCATCCCTCCCTCCCTGACTTTGGGTCCTACTTCTGCAGAGTATGCTGTCCCCCTAGTACACCTCCATGGGGTGCTCTGTCATCGGGGAGGGGCTTGGCCGGGTGGGCCCTGCAGAGCCTGGGGTCCCTCAGCTGAGGGGGGGTGTGGAAAACTGTGCCTCCAGGCAGGAGTGTGTGGCCACAGAGGAGAACCCCCAGGTGTACTTCTGCTGCTGTGAAGGCAACTTCTGCAACGAGCGCTTCACCCACCTGCCGGAGGCCGGGGGCCCGGAAGGTGAGGGCCGTGGGAGAGGCAGGCTGGGGCCTTTCCTTGGCCCGTGAGGAGCGCTCAGCTCCTGAGTCGGGTGGGGAGTGGCTGCAGGGCTCTCTGGCCCTGGAGGTGCAGGGGCGGGCGGGCTGTGTGACACAGGGCTCCGTGTGTCCCCCAGTCACGTACGAGCCACCCCCGACAGCCCCCACCCTGCTTACGGTGCTGGCCTACTCGCTGCTGCCCATTGGGGGCCTCTCCCTCATCGTCCTGCTGGCCTTCTGGATGTACCGGCATCGAAAAGCCCCCTACGGCCACGTGGACATCCACGAGGTGAGACGGCTGGCTGGGGCAGGGCAGGGCAGGGGTACCGGTGGCGAGGCCAGGGCAGGGTCCTTAAGGCCGGTCTCCCCCAGGACCCTGGACCTCCACCCCCATCCCCTCTGGTGGGCCTGAAGCCACTGCAGCTGCTGGAGATCAAGGCTCGGGGGCGCTTCGGCTGCGTCTGGAAGGCACAGCTCATGAACGACTTTGTGGCCGTCAAGATCTTCCCACTGCAGGTGAGTGCGTGCAGGGCCGAAGGCCATCCACCTGTGCTTTGGCCCAGGCTCTCCTGCCCCCTGGGCAGTCCAGGCCCTACACAGTGGGGGGAGGGGTGGGTGAGAGAGAAGTGGGCCCCCTTGGGGGCAGTGAAATGTATTGTGCAGCTAGGTAGGGCTTTGCAACTCCCTGATTTGCAAAACCTTGATCCACTCTGGGTTTCAGGTCTTGGCTACCCCAAGCAGTTGCCCGAGACCCTTAGCAAAGCCTGGCCCAGCTATATGTCTCATTTGTCGGGTGATTCTGGGCCACTCATTGCCCTCTGCACTTCTGCACACCTGTTTGTAAAGCACGTGCTGGCCTTGTGTGGTCTCAGGAATCACTGTTGGCCTGTGCTCCGGGGCGTGGCTCAGTCCAGGTCTTCTGCCTGCCCCCTTATCGGTGCCGAGGCTAAGGGTGTGGGGAACGGGGAGGGTGGCCGTCCTGGGGCCGGTGGCATGGCTGCAGTGGGGTTGAGCCTCATCCCTGCCTCAGGACAAGCAGTCGTGGCAGAGCGAGCGGGAGATCTTCAGCACGCCTGGCATGAAGCATGAGAACCTGCTGCAGTTCATCGCCGCTGAGAAGCGAGGCTCCAACCTCGAGGTGGAGCTGTGGCTCATCACAGCCTTCCACGACAAGGTGAGCCACGCCCCATGCAGAGGGGCGCACAGGGTGAGGTGGCCGTGGCCATGGTTTCCACAGTGGCCTCCCGCAGTCAGGGACCCCTGCCACAGGTGCGGACAGGAGTGTCCACAGTGAGAACCCCTAACTCTGGGATAACTTGTTATGAGTAAGAGTAGCAATTTCATAATTAATACATCTGAAACCACCCCCCACAAACCCATCCTGGTCTCACGCGTCTTGTGTATCAGTTCCAGCCTCCCAGGAGCCTGGCTGGCTGTCCGTCTGTGGAGACGGCCTCCCGAGGCTGGGCCAGGCCTGCCCTGTCCCCAGAGCCCGCACCCCAGTCCTGTGCTTCCTCCTCCAGGGCTCCCTCACGGATTACCTCAAGGGGAACATCATCACTTGGAACGAGCTATGCCACGTGGCAGAGACGATGTCCAGAGGTCTCTCGTACCTGCACGAGGACGTGCCCTGGTGCCGTGGCGAGGGCCACAAGCCGTCTATCGCCCACAGGTACCTGGGTTAGCAGTCAGCCTCCATGTGCTTGGCCTGGAGCTGCAGAGAAGGTTGGAGGGCCAGAGCAGGGCCCAGCGGGTCTCAGTATTGTAAATACGTTTAGCCACTGTGAGGTCTGTCAGAAGTGACTGGGCACAGCAGCCTGGGCCCACCTGCTGCTGTCTGCCTTCCACCCCTGTCTGGGCCTGGCCTGGCCTCTCAAGCCGGTTTTTTCGTGCCCTCTAGTGGCCGCAGGAGAAAATGCCGACTGCATTACTGGAGAGTTGGCTCCGCTGTTCTCTCACATTTTGGTTCAAATCCCTTTCCACTCTCCAGAAGAACTTTGTGTAGGTGGCTTATGTCTACTGTTTGCTGCACTAAAGCACATGCATTCCGTTAACTGCCACAGTGATGACTTCACATGTATGTAGCCTCCGGAAAACTCTGCACTCTCAAGAGAATGAGCATAAAGATGGGGCAAATAATAGATTACTAGGAATGTAATTTTGACCTTGTAGATCCCCTGAAACAGTAGTCTCAGGGACCCTCTGGGGTCCTGGGACTGTACTTTGAGAGCCACTGTGTTGACTCCTTATCTTAGTGCCACTGCATGGCAGGTGGCGCTGCCAACACACAGAAACGCCAGCTCCCGTTGTCCTCAGTGCTGCCCTGTGAGACGGTGTTTCCAGCCCATCTTATGGATGGGGACAGTCGTACAGGGGAGTGAGTACTGTATTTTGCCCTGTGTGATGAACTCCTGTGTATAATGTGCACTCACATTTTTGGCCCAAAATTTCAGGAAAGAAAATCTTTCATTTTAATTTTTTTAATTCAATCAATTATTTATTTATTTGTTTGTTTATATTTAGAAACAAAACCAATTATGTATTCCAGGGTATTATTTTGCACATAGGTGTCATTATTGCTTTCTAGAGGTACACTTTAACACATAGGCATAAACAAAAGAATTAAAAACATTTATATAGATATGGAATTAGTACTGCCCATGTATAATATGTATCCTTATTTTTCCCTAAAAATTTTGGGCAAAAAAGTGTGCATTATACATGGCAAAATGCAGTAACTTCGCCATACCTACTTTAGAGTGGTTCTGTGGCTTCGAGGGAGGGGAATAAGCCTCGGACTCCAGAAAGGGCCCCTAGTGGTACTAACATCAATGTCATAAAAGGTTGACTGTATGAAATTGCCATTTTTGTAGGTCAAAAACGGTTGAATGTCGACTCTTCCATATGGTTCAGCCTAACAGTAGTGCATAGTAAGTGTGCCAGGGGCAGCCCCCAGCATGTGTACTTACTACCTTCTCAGTGTCATCCTCACCACAAGGCCGGGACAGGCACTGGGGAGACTGAGGACCAAGAGTCACTGCTAGTGAGAGGCGGGGCTGGGCACTCACGCCAGCACCCTGCCCTGTGCCTGCCTCCGTGGTGGGCTGGAGCCCCTCGGGCCTGCCCCGAAACCCAGGCAGGCTCAGCTGCAGTGCTCGCTCTGTCCTAAATACTGTAAATCCTCCTCAGAAAACCCGAATCCCACCCAGGTCAGTATACCTGCCCTCAACCCCTCTGTGAACATAGGGCTGGCCTTTGGTACCGTGGGGACTGGGATGGAGTTTGTCGGCCAGTGGGGGCAGGTGTTGCTCTAGCAGCTCTGGGGAGAGTGCAGTTAATTAGGGATTCTCATGGCAGCGCTGCAGGGGGGCATGTCCTAAAACTGCCCACCTGTGGCTTCATGGAGCTCCGCCTTGGTGCAGACCCTGCCTCCCGCTTGGTGGGATGGCCTGCTCTGGGATCTCTGGAGGCCGCATCTTGAGAGCTGAGATGGGAGACCATGAGCAGGTAGGTCAGACCACGATGTTGGCCTTCATGTCGGTCCGCTTGTCTCCACAGGGACTTTAAAAGCAAGAACGTGCTGCTGAAGAGCGACCTCACGGCTGTGCTGGCCGATTTTGGCCTGGCTGTTCGGTTTGAGCCAGGGAAGCCTCCAGGGGATACTCATGGGCAGGTAACGAGGCTCGGGGTGGAAGAGAGGGGCTGGCACAGGGGAGGCATTGCCCTTCTGATGCTCAGCGGGCAGAGCGCACAGGCAGCGGTCGCCGTGTGAGCTCAGAGCTGCCTGAGAACGCCGAGAACGGTGCACTGCTGGGGAAGGCGAGGCCCGGAATGGTGGAGCCAGCCAGGCTGGTCAGCTGAGCAGCGCGGATTCCCGGTTGGGAATTTGTCCGCTCGTCCTTGTTGACTCAGTCTTTTTCTTTTCAGTTATAAAGATAGGTGAGATAAAATATAAGATATACTAAGACTCCAGACCCAAAAGCCTAGAAAAATTAACCAAAAATTAAGCCTAAGCAAATCATCCTAAAACAATCGCTGCTGATATTTTTCAGTGACATCCTTCCCCTTTCGTTTTTGGTGTTACTCTCAGTAAATCATGTCTGTGCGGCCCGTGTGGTGGTGATGGGGTAGAGGCAGCACCTGCAGGGTTAGCTCACAGCAGTCCTGAGGGTGTGCCATCTTAAACGATCACGTAGGTACAGTTTATACCGTGGCCTCTTGTGACCCTCCTGGGAACGTGGGACAGCAAGCCTTGCCATCATTGTCAGTGTCCCGCTCTGAATTCTGCCACCCTGGCCCCTTAGGGTGCACGAGGGATGCATCTCCTGTCCAGCACTGAGGGCATCTGCATAGATGGTGACCGTAGACCCTCTCCCTCCTGCAGGTGGGCACTCGGCGATACATGGCCCCAGAGGTGCTGGAGGGTGCCATCAACTTCCAGAGAGACGCCTTCCTGCGCATCGACATGTATGCCATGGGGCTGGTGCTGTGGGAGCTCGTCTCCCGCTGCAAGGCTGCCGATGGTGAGTGCCCACGCCCCAGGTGTCCTGCGGGTGGGTGGATGGGTTGGGAGCAGCAGGACCTGGCGGTGATTCACCAGGCTCGGTCTCACCCCCAGGCCCCGTGGACGAGTATATGCTGCCCTTTGAAGAAGAGATCGGCCAGCACCCATCATTGGAGGAGCTGCAGGAGGTGGTCGTGCACAAGAAGATGCGGCCCGCCATTAAGGATCACTGGCTGAAGCACCCGGTGAGGGCCCCGCAGGGCATGGGGCTGCACAGGAGCAGGGAAGGGAGTTCTTACCTGTGGTGAGAACCTGAGGTCAGGGGTGTAGTGCTGAAAGAGGGGATGCCTCAAACAACAAGACAGTCCCCTCCTCTGCCAGGCCAGAGGACACTTAGTGCACTTTTTCTCTTCCGCCAGGGAAGCCTTAGGAAGGTTCAGTGAGCCACCAGGAGGTGGCTCTGGGTCTGCTTAGTTGGGCCCAGGTTGCCCCCATGTGGGAGGGACCCTGTGCCGTGGAGCCTGCTGGCCCTGACTGAGCCTGACCTCTCGGGGTTTGAATCCTGGATCTGCCAATCCATAGCTGGGTGACTTCAGGCAAATTGCTTTATATCTCTGAGCCTCTGTCTTCTCAGGGTAGTAATAGATTTAATGAGTTATCATTTTAAACCCCTTGGCAGGATACCTACCACATAAATGCTCAATATGGGCTGGTTCTGATAAATTCCTCTGTTCTCTGCCTTCATTATTTTCTGGGCCTGGGCCAAGCCCCGTGGCATCTGGGCCCCTCTGCTCCAGGGATGTTGTACGAGAGACCCTGGCAGCGTAAACCTGTCTTGGGAGGATATTTGCCTTCAGCTCCCCTGATCCACACCCGCCACCCACCCCAGGGTTAATTCAGAAAACGAACAGTGTTGGGACCACTGGGGGTAGTAGCCCTCTACCATACATACCACCAGGGTCCAAGCTGTTAAGGCCAAGTTCAGCTGCCACGCTGCTCCTTGGAACCCCCGGCTGCAAGAGGAGAAGGTGGAGCCTGGGTCAATATCTACCTTCTGCTTCAGACTGTCTCAGTCTCCCAAGGCAGAGGTGCCAAGGCAGCTGGTCCATTTCTCTGACGAGGAGCCCCATGTCCAGAGAGGTCTCAACATGGCCTCGGGGGCAGAGCAGGCCAGAGAGTGCCTGGATGTGGACCTGCTGTCCACCCTCTGCCTCGTCTGGCTCTACACAGTTGGTTCCAGCACAGGGTGTCATACACCATGTGCCCTGCACTCTAGGGAGGGCCCCCCGAGGCTGTGAGCAGTAGGGTGGATGGTGCCCCCTCCTCTGGTCCCACTGTGACCACCACTTTTTGGGTCCTTACATGACTTGGGCTTCACATAAGATTTTGCTTAAATATCACTGTATCTGCCCCAGGAGGGGCCTGGCTTCCTCCCTGCCTATGTTGATGTTCAATGGCCTTCCACTGGGGCCGTGGTGGGAGGCCAGTGGGCTCAGGGTGGTGATTGCCAGGAGGGGTGGCACCCTGATCCCCGCAGTGTTCCCCAGGCTCCTGCTAATGGCTCCTGGGGTTGGGACACACCTGTGGCCTCTGCCTGGTCTCGGGTACATCATCAAGTTTGCTGTCCCCCAGGCTTGTCCTCACTGAGGGACACCAACAGGCTCTGTTTCCTCCCCTCCTCGTGGCGCAGGGCCTGGCCCAGCTCTGTGTGACCATCGAGGAGTGCTGGGACCACGACGCAGAGGCTCGCCTGTCTGCGGGCTGTGTGGAGGAGCGGGTGTCCCTGATCCGGAGGTCGGTCAACGGCACTACCTCGGACTGTCTTGTCTCCCTGGTGACTTCCGTCACCAACGTGGACCTGCCCCCTAAAGAGTCGAGCATCTAAGCCCGGGACACGAGTGGATCTCCAGACTCGGTGGATCTGAAGAGGAAAGGAAAAAACAAGTTGTGTTTTGTTTTGGAAATCTCATAACACCAACAAACACATAAAATGCAGCTGCTATTTTACCTTGACTTTTTATTATAATTAATTATAATTATTATTATTAATATTATTTTGGGATCGGATCAGTTCTACCAGCACATCGCTCTACTGCATCTCAAACAGTGGACGCGTCAGCAGGCGTCGAGGTGCTGAGCTGTGAATGCAGAACCAGCGCCGTGCTGGCAGCCTCCGCTGCCTCCTGTCCTGGGGGTTCAGCTTCCCCCGCCTTCGTTGCTCGTCTCGGAATCTGTGACACAGAGTCCCATCTCCTGTCTTAGGAAACTTAATGCTGCAAACTCATCCTAGAGGAGCCTTTGAAGACTGTTACATAAAAACATACTTCCTCCAGAGGAGTTTCCTTCTGCCCTTACCACCTCCCTCCTTCCCTTTCCTTGTGTTTTTCTCCCTTTTTTAGACAGTGAGTTTAAGAAACAGCAGATGTGTTTTCACGGATTAACGGGTGTTGTCCTGACCAGGAAGAAGGGGGGTGAGGAGGAGGATGGTTCGGACTGGAGTTGAAAGGGGAGGGTGGGGCGGGGCGGGGCGGGCGTTGGGTAGGGTCTGGAGCAGAGCTACACTGGACTCGGGCACGTTCGGAGCAACATCCTTTGCTGTGAGGCTACTTCTCAGGTAACCAGGAATTGAGGGGAAGGACCGTGTGGAGGCCGAGCATTAACGGCAAGAGCGGGGTTTGGAGAAAGTCCAAAATAGATACGGCTCTGACCCGCCCGCTGGCCCTGACCAGTTTTTCCCACTACCTTGGGCTTGGGCCTAGGACAGAACATTTTTTTCTGCCCTATTTTAGGTTAGGTAAGGGTAGAAATCACGGTTGAGTGGGCACATTCTTCATAAGACATGATGCTGTAAAAATATCTTTAAAGGAGGAGGCGTTGAAATACATTACTTCCTCCTGGAGCAGTTCAGGGAAATGCCCACAGGGGGCGCCCTGCACAGCCAGGGCAAGAGGATTTCCTGGGTGAGGCCAGCAGAGGCCTACCTCTCTGGAGACCCTGTGAGTCCTGCAGCGCTGGCTCTGCCCTGTGTGGTGACATTATTGTCCCCTTTATGTGGCTCGTGGACATAGCTTTCTCCAGGCCCTTAAAGTGGTGCATATTCTAAAACCCTTTATTATGCCATACCCTTGCTCTAGTCAGTGAATGTTCCTAATGCTGCTGTTTCAACATTCAATTTTTTTTAATTTATGAAACATGCAAAATTCAAAACAAAACAAAACAGACCACACATACATCCAGATATATTTTGTGCATCCACACACATTTTGCTATGTGGCTTCCGAGGTTTAAATTTTGAAAAATAAAAGAATGAAAACTTCACGACCACAGACCACCTCAAACCAGAAATACCTCAGAATTTTCTACTTGTGTAAGTTTTATTATATATTTTATTAGTTGTGTTGTCTTGTAATAAGTATATTTTAATGTAAGTTGGCTTTTATGACAAGAAAGTGTAAAAGACAGAGGAAAAAAGAGTTTGAGTCTTCTAGATAGTGCTACCATTTCTGTTGGTGACGCCCTTGTACAGAATTGTCATCACCTGTAGGTTGGTTGGCTGGGCCGCATCTGGGCATTGGTCACTCTTGTTTGTGAAGGCTTTTCCTTCTGGTTTCTGTAGACCATTTTAATTTAGAACCGGAGCTCTCAATTGCGGGGGGACTGGGTGGGTGATGGAGAGAGGTGGACTCGGGTGAGGATGGGAGGGGGCACCTCCTCTTGGGTTCTTTGGAGGTTCAGATGTTCCCCTCACTTCGATTGGTTGCCATTCAGAATGACAGGTAACCCCACTGTGACTTGGTAAACTGTGGCCCTCAAAAACCCACCTGAGGTCATTTACTTGAGATTTCATTTCTTAAGGACTTCAGCAGCAGCAGCAGCAGTCGGGAGAGACCCGCAGTGTCCCTGGGAGCCTGCACTGTGCTCGGGCTGTCTGTGCTAGAGAGGCATGTCTGGAGTGGAGTGTTCTTACCTGTCGCCCTGAGGCTTGAGACCCGAGGGCACCGCACATACCCTAGGGGCCAGCCGCCTGCTGCCCCAAGGGGTGTCCCCTTGGCTGTGTCCTTTCCTCTGTTTGGGCCCTGGATGAGCTTGCTCCCCTGCCCCAGAGCTCAGCTTTTGCTTCATGGGTCAAATTGTGAGCTGGCCGAGGTGGTTACAGGGACTTTTTGGTAAGCTATATTGTCGTTTACTTTTTTGAAAGAATATTTGTGCTGTGGTATTTTCTTCCCTGGGAATAATTTTTAACAGCAAAACAGGCCTTACAGCAGTTGCTTTCCCTTTTCACTTCTTTCTTTCAGAAGCTTTAAAATATTTATTGAAAAGTGCCATATCTAATTTCCTCAGCTTTCTCCTCGGGCAGTGCCGGGTGTCTCTACTTTCACCCTCAGAAACTAATGAGCCGCTAACAACCAGCCGACCTACTACAGGAATGACTGGAGCGCTGGTCCTACCCCTGCCTCTCCGTGTGGTTTTAGGTGTCTTCTGGGTGATTTCTCTTTTGTGTGCTGGCTGGCTTCTCGGGAGGACACGTTGGGGCCTGGCCATGGAGGCTTGAGCCGTGGCTCTGATGTGGGGACCTGCCGGCTGGGACGCAGTGTGGACAGGAAGGCCTTCCTGGTGGTCTGCATGCCTTTTATCAGGGGAGGGAGGACTCCTTCTTTGCTCACCCTGTGCTTAGCTGCTCTGGCATCTCCTTGGGGCCTTGGCACCAGAAGGGTGTGTCAGGAGATGGTCTTGTTTGACGTGGCCAGGGAGGGGGGAGAGTCCAGTAAGCTCTTTGGGCTTCAGGCTGCCTTTGCCCCTCCTGCCATAACACCCCCCTGTTGTGCTGGCTGGGAGAAGGTGGGTACTCTCGTCCCAGAGTGTGCTGCGAGGAACCCGGGTGGATCTTGTCTCAGATAAGGTGTGTTTGCTGTCATGAATTCTTTGGGGAGTGAGCCATCTAGAGGCCCCATTTGTGTGGGGGGTGTTGTAGGGCCTCTGCCTGTGCTCTTCTCCACAAAGGTTTCACGTGACATTCACTTCCGGGGAGCTCAGGTAATGACTACCCCGCCTCTCCCACTCCAGGCTTGTGGGAGCTGGTGGGAATGGAGGCTGGCATCGCTTTCCCTGCCTGTGGGAGAGGCTACCGCATCCACAATGGGAAGGCAGCTGAGTCGGGGGAGCAGTGACCATGGATCCTTGCTCCTGCCTTTCTAGTGTCCTGTCCTCCAGGCAGGCTCCTGGCTGTGGGACGGGCTTTGGGGAAGAAGGTGCTCTGTTTGAAAACACCAGTGATCACGATGGGAAGATGTCCCTAGCCAGAGAAGTCCAGCAAGTGAACACGAGAAAGAGTAAGCAGGTGGAGACAGAGGCTGCTGTGCCAATGTCCTGTGAAGGAATCAGTGACAGGGGAACAAGGAAAGGAAGGCCATGAACCTAGTCAATAGACCTCCCAAGTCAGGCATTCTCCGGGTACCATTGGTCCCCACTAGGAGTCCTCCTCTGAGTGAGTTCCTCAGGGCAAGAGCTGCAGGTAGACTGTTCTTAGGAGAAAGGGAGACCTGGCTTAGGCAGATTGGGGAGCATCATCACAGCCTTTGTTACTCAGCATGGCTTTCCTGTCCTATTGGCTCCTGGTAGGTGCCCAGAGGGATCGGCCCTGCCTACGGAAGGCTTCCCCATGGGTGCCAGCTGCTTCTGACTCAGGATTCATCCTGTCCAGATGTGGCGCATGGATGCCGAACAAGGACCTCGTCCAGCTTGGAGCATCTTAGGAGCCTGGAGCCCCCACACACATAGTCTCTCATCTCCAGGCCCCGGACGAGATAGTTCTTCCATTGCCTCTGGGGCCAGGCTAACCTTTTTGTCAGGTCATGCTTTAGGAAGCAAAGCTGGTGACCCTGCAGCTCTGCTCTGTCACCTTTCTCTCCAGTCGGCCACGTTCTTGCTCCCTGCTGCCCTGCACTGGGTGCTTGGGCTGTGTGTGGTGTTTCCTTGGTGGCAGGCCCAGCTGTGTATTGAATGTCCACCATGTGCTGTGTGTGGCTCGGAAAGCCTGTCACATGGCCCCAATACTCTGAGCCACGAGAGCAGGGAAGTGGCTGTCCCATTCAGGGTGGGTGGGCTGGATGGCCCTCTGGCAGATGGAATTTTTTGCCCTTTTTAGAGTGCCATGTAAAATCCCAGGCACCTAATTTGTAAGACAAGGGTTTGATGTTTTTTAAGAATATAGTAAGCATAAGTATGTAAGTTTTTAGAATTGGTACCAGAAGTCCAATAGCCAGCCATTATTCCTGAGAACTTGACTCACTAGAAAAATGCCTAATTTGGATAGCATTTTCCAGAACTTACTTTGGTGGCCTCTCCCAGACATTTCAATAGCTATTGGGTTCTAATGGGCTCATCTTTGGAAAGACAGCTGGGCATGGTTCACATGTTGGGGACATGTGACCACACCTTCCCAGGAAGCCCAGTGAGCTTACTCTTCAACCCTCATGCAGGGTGAGCAGCCAGAAAGGAAGGGGCATGGTGGCTCTTTCTCCTTTGGTGACATGAATTCTCCTTGGTCATTGGCTGTTTACAAAAAGCTTAGCTAATAAACTACTCAGCTAATGTGTTCAACCAAGTAATGTCAAGCTTAAGTCTTGATGAACTGTAATGTTTTGGGTAAAGAAACTGGCCCAGTAATTCATTTGATGAAAGTTTCATCTCAGTCTAGATTTGTAAATGGTTAATGAATTCAGGGTTATATCCATAGTTCTTTAAGTAAGATTCCTGGTTGTTGATTTGTAACCAGCAATTCCCCTATGAATGTATCCCAAACCCTTAGAAGGCTTGGAAAAGTTTTTTAACATAAGGATTTAGTTTTGTAGGAAAAAGAAACTAAAGTTTAAAACACTTGCCCTTGGAAATTTGGTTGAGTCAGCCACATTTAAAAAAAAAAAAAAAGTGGATCCCAGCGATCCACAAACTAGCATCAGATAAGTCCAAGTGATCTAGGTGGGATTTGTTCATATTCCTGTTTTATGGAATAGGAGTAGACTCCTTTTGGGTCTACTGTAATCTTTGGCTTGGACGGGATTTTGAATTTAAAGGATTTACCACTATCTGCATTTTTACTAAGCTTTTACATTTTCCTGAGGGCATCTTCCAGGTATGAGTGAAGTAGGACTTTCGATTGTGGTACTCCTGTACCCCCATAGTGCCAAAACCCGCGGCACCTCATTCGCTTCTGCGGCAGCTCGAAGAGATGACACTTGGGGTGTTTCCTCGTGAGTTGAAATGCTTGTTTTCTAAACGCCCACGTGTGGGGATGGCCCTGGGCTGCCCTGTGGTCTCCAGGAGTGTCCGGGTTGTGTGAGGCCCGGGCAGCTCTGAGCACTGCAGGCCAACTCTAGGACACCGAGGAGGTGTGTACACGGACATACATGTGTTTGCAGTGGGTTATACAGATGTGGGCTCTTCTGG